TGCTGCCTTCTTGTTTAGCTTTAACAGCATAAATTTATGGGTTTTTTTTTGTGGCCTATTTAATGCCACATTTTCCACATTTTTTTGTGTGCTTTTCGTTGGCAATTTTGCTATTTTAAATGGTTCCCAATATATAGTTCTGAAGTAAAGTACAAGAAGGCTGTGATGTGCCTTAAGAAGAAAGTAAGTATGTCAGATCAACCTCATTCAGGCATGAGATAGTGCTGTTGGCTGTGGGTTCAATGTTACTGAATCAATGATATATGTTAAATAAGGTAACTTTAAACAGAAACACACAAAAAATATGGTTATTTATTGATTAATTGACAAAAATCTAAACAAAGGCTCATGGAAGCCTAACCCTGATTTTCCCCTAGGAGCAATAATGATTCACTAATTCAGTTTATGCAGCAACTTCATACAACATAACTATTCTGAACAATGAGACTTAGTTGATTTGACTGTATTTTATTTGATTTTTTGATAGACATACAAACCAGATCTTACAGTCATTTTATAGATATTACTAGAGGCCCAGTGCATGAAATTCGTGCATGGGGGCGGGAGGAGGGGGAGTGACCCTCACCCAGCCTGCACCCTCTCCAATCTGGGACCCCTCGAGGGATGTCTGACTGTTCGTTTAGGCCCGATCCCACCAGTAATCGGACATCCCTCTCACAATCCAGGACTGCTGGCTCCCAACTGCTTGCCCACCTGCCTTCCTTATTGCCCCTAACTGCTTCTGCCTGCCAGTCTGATCACCCCCTAACCACTCCTATGCCAGCCTGATTGATGTCTAACTTTCTTGCCAGCCCATTTGGCCCCAACTTCCCTCCTCCGCTGGCCTGATCACCCATAATCGCCCTTTCCTGCAGGGTTGATCACCTTCAACTGCCCTCCCTTGCAGGCCTGGTGCCTCCCAAATGTCCTCCCCTACTTGCCTGATCACCTTCAACTGCCCTTCCTTGCAGGCCTAGTCCCTCCCAACTGCCCTTCCCTGCTGGCCATCTTGTGTCCACATGAGGGCAGGATCTTTGACCACATGGGGGCAGCCATATTGTGTGTTGGTGTGATGGTCAATTACTCTTTTATTAGATAGGATATTAGTGCACAGGTGGGGGCCAGCTGGTTTGCCCAGAAGGGTGTCCCGGATCAGGGTGGGGCTTCCCTTGGGGGCATGGAGCAGCCTGAGAGAGGGGCCTGTGGTGGTTTGCAGTCCGGCCATGCCCCCCAGCGACCCAAGCAGAGGCCCTGGTATCTGGAATTCATTTTCCTTCTACAACTGAAACTTTAGCCTGGAGCGGAGCCAAGCCTCCTGCGCTTGGTGGCAGCAGCTGTTTCTGTTTGGATTTGTTTACCTTCTATAATTGAAACTTTGTAGCCTTGAGTGGAGATCAGCTAGTAGCTGACTTAGGGGATGTTAAAAATGCACAGAAAGAATGAGTGGAAATAACTAGTTTGCTGGGGCTGAGAAATGCACATGGGAGTGTAGCCCTAAGCAGAGGAGGAAGCCCAACCTACCATGATCTAAGAACTAAGCAAGCTAGTGTGTGCTCGTGTGTGTGTGTGTGTGTGTGTGTGTGTGTGTGTGTGTATGTGTGTGTGTGTGTGTATGTTTGTGTGTAGGCTGGGAGGTGGAGTGCTAGGCAGAGGAATTTTTTAAGCATTTTGTTAAAATAGAGCCCCAAAGGCTTCTGCCTCTGAATAGCTGAGTTGATAGCGTTTTCCTTTTCACCTCTTTTTCCTGAAGATTACAATTCTTCTCCCATGATTCTGGCTTCCCTGCATGAGACAAAGCACATATAAACCATCTCTTCCAACACTAGTGTTAGCAGAACAGGAATATCTTTCTCTATTTGATATTTTCTGAGCAGCACCTTATTTTCTTTCTTATAATGCTGTTGGACACTTTGTTATATATTTTCTTTGATTAATTTATTCATAGAATTCTTCATTTCTGTTTCTTAAACAGATTTAAACTTTGTTGTCTCCGGCATTTACTATTTCTTCATGCTAATCAGTTCTGCCTTCATATGGGCTTTGGTGTCAATGATCAAAATAGCATCATGTGGTATATCATATTTCAATAAATAGACTGTAGGCCCCTTGAGGGCAAGACACATGTATTTCCATCTTTTTATATCTCTACCTATTGGTAATTGACTTAAAAATTACCAACATGTTGCCTGGCTGGTATGGCTCAGTGGTTGAGCTTTGACCTATGAACCAGAATGTCATGTTTTGATTCCTACTTCAGGCACAAGGCTGGGTTGCAGGCCCCATCCCATTGTGGGGCATGCAGGAAGCAGCTGAGCAATGATTCTCTCTCATCATTGATGTTTCTATCTCTATCTCTCTCCCTCTTCCTTCCTTTCTCTGAAATCAATAAAAATATATTTAAAAATTATAGGTAGGGGAGGGTAGAAGTAAGGAGGAAAGATCAACCAAAGGACTTGTGTGTATGCATATATGCCTGACCAATGGATACAGATACCAGGGGGTGAGGGCATGAGTTGGGGGAAGGTTGGGAGGGGCAATGGGGGGATAAGGACACATATGTAATACCTTAAAAAATAAAGAAAAAAAATTAAAAAATTACAAACACATTATTTAAAATTCAGCTATTTTAAGTATTAGTTAATAGTTTTACATGGACAAAGGAAAATTCACGAGGAAGTTTGTATAATGTAGAGGGAAAACATGGGCTTCTGAGTTAGATCACTCTAGATTCACATTCACGTCTGCCACACTAGCATGTGACAACAGGCAAATTACTTTCCTTCTATGGGTTTCATTTACCTATTGCTAAAACAGACAAACTGAAACCCAACCCCATGTTTTGTTGCCAGAATTATAGGAGTTAATAAAATAATATATTAATTAAGTGCCTTATAGAATGCTGACCACTTAATGAGTGATCAATAATTAGAGAACCCAGGAGTCTGAGGAATGATCAGCCAGTACCTTGTTTTTATGACTGGTTATAAAGAATAGCCCTCTGTAGTTCACAGGTATAAACAGTTAGAAATTATGGTTTTGTATATTTTTTCTAAGTTCTGCTTTGTGCTAGACTCTATGCTAAGAACATTAGATACTCTTTTATATAATCATCAAAATAATTATCAGAGATAGGTAGTATTAGGAGCATTTCAAATAAGTAAATTAAAGGTCTTAGCCAACTTGGAAAGGTCAGACTTGAGATTTAAGCCTAGGTATTTGACTCTAATATCCATGCTCATTACCAATGATAGACTAATCACCTTTCTTTTGAGAGCTATGTGACACTGATAAAGAGACAACCAGTATGGAGAATTACTTTGTCAGATGTACCAAGTAGATTAAGAATTCTGTTCTCCAAAGAGATTGAACCTTTAATTCCAGTGTGAACCCTGAGCCTCAGCCAATTCTGGTGGTTAAGCTCCTCCTTTATGTGAATTATGATTTAGAGGGAATCACTTGTGCATTTGAACACACTGAAGACTTTTGAAAACCTGACCTTCCATTAAACTCAAGTTGGAAGAAAAACAGCAAATTCCTCTGTAATGAGTGAATTATTAACTACTAATCTTTTCCTTCTCCTTAGGGTGACTCTGGAGGACCACTGGTTAGTGCAGATGCCAGAGATATCTGGTACCTTGCTGGAATAGTGAGCTGGGGAGATGAATGCGGGCAACCCAATAAGCCTGGCGTTTATACTAGAGTGACTGCCTTCCGGGACTGGATTGCTTCCCAAACTGGTATCTAAAGGAGAAAAGCTCAGTAGAATGGAATGCATTTTTGTTTGTAGGTCATTTTCAGAGATATGGAATTGCAGAAGAAGCTTTGAATGTCACCTCAATCTGACCAAAAAAAAAAAAAAAAATGAAACTGTCTGCTTGATGCATAATTTCCTTCTAGCTCTCCTCCACATATGAACATCCTGCCTCTTCCAGATGGCTCTGTCTCAACTTGCATTCATTTATTTTCTACAAGTCTTCTGTCCTTTATGCCTTGTTGACATAAAATTTCTCATGCATACATACAATTTGAAGTGATTACTTCTTTCATTCCCCCAGTTTCTGTTTTATCAGTAAATTTCCACTTTCAAGGTTCAGGACAAAAAATAAAAGAAAATATAAGAAAAAAACTACATTTTTACATACGGAAAAAATATTTTTTTTCTGAACAGAATAATACAAATGAACATATTCATTATGAAAGGTCAAGCAGAGACAGAAGACCAAATCCTTCATGATGGACAATGGATGGAAACTAAAGGAAGTTCAGAGAGGAATAAGATTTAGCTTTTTTCTCATTTCTACAGTTTTTTTTAAAAATGGAAATGTATATTTATTTAACATTGCACTGCTGAGGGTGTTAATATCCTATATAATAAAAGGCTAATATGCAAATCATCCAAAAGATGGAATGACCGGTTGCTATGATGTGTACTGACTACCAGGGGGCAGACACTCAATGCAGGAGCTGCCCACTGGTGGTCAGTGTGCTTCCACAGAGGGAGCTCTGCTCAGCCAGAAGGCAGGCTCACGGGTAGGGAGCTCAGTGGCAGTGGCAGGAGCCTCTCCTGCCTCCTCGGCAGCGCTAGGGATGTCCGACTAATGGCTTAGGCCCGCTCCCCATGAAGCTGTTGTTCAAACATCCTCCAAGGACTGCTGGACTGTAAGAGGGTGCAGGCCAGGCTGAGGAAATCCTCTGAGTGTAAGAATTTCATGTGCTGGGCTTTTAGTATAATAATAAAACATAATAAATCTCCCATTTGCTTGACATTGCAATATGGTAATCCATAAAGGAGGACAAGATGAAATCTGAGGCTAAAATAAAAATTTATTGAAGAACAACCAGCATAGTGTATGTGGTAAGATTTTTGTGTGGGTGAATAAGAGGGAATGAAGAGAAAATCAATTTAAGCTATTGAATGAAATAAGATTACCACCAAGTGCTTGTGTATTTACATCCGAAGCTTTCCCAAACTGTGAAACCTTGGGTGGAATAAAGTCTAGATGTTACTATGTAGTTATGGTGATGCAAATAAAGCTAGAGCTCTTCCCCACATTAAAAAAAAAATTGCAAACTTTCTTTCCCACTGCTGTGCTTCCATCCATGTTTACACTGTGGCCTATCTGGTTCAGAGGGAGGATATAATAGGGGAGATATTCTGGAAGCTGACTCCCTGCATCCAGAATGGCACTGAATTGCTAAATGCTTGGATACAAAATGCTTGGAAGAATAAAAAGCTAATTACCAGCCACCTTCATAATTTCAATTCTACTAAATTTGGTAGAGGCACAACATTCAAGTGGTCTAGGCCACCATGACGTTAAGAGTGGTATCATGATATACGCCATATTAATCCTGAGATTTCACAGAATCTTTCACTAATGCTCTACTTACACAGATTCTGTGTTGTACCACAACCACTTTGAAAACTAACATTAGTAGGAACGTTTGACTTTACTTGGCCCAAATAACCTTGGCATATGGAACTGATAAAATCGAGACACTTGACTAAAATAAGATATGAAAATTGACATGAATTGATAGTGTTAAATATTTTGCAGAAACTATTTTTGTTCCATTGAACAAAATATTTTGATTAAAAAATTTAGGGAAGTGAAAGATTTTAAACAAAGATTTAAGTACACTTAAAAAATTGAATTTATTCGTATGCCATTGGTTCACAAAACCATACATGTTTCAAGTGCACAACTCAATAAAACATCTCACACTGCACTGTGTGCCCATCACTCCCAGTAAAGTCTCTTTCTCTGCCCATTTCCCCGCCCTTTTCCCATCTCCACTTAGCCCCCACTTTCCTTTCCTTCTGGCAATCATCACAGTGTTGTCTATGGCCATGCGTTATGTCTGTGTTTTGGCTGGCTAATCCCTTTACTTTACTCTCGGTGTCCCCTTAAAAATCTATCTCCCTTATTCAGTCCATTCTGTAGTTAGGCCTCTAGGTGGCACCCGCCAGCTGCAGAAAGATACAGGGAAGAAATATGTTTGTGACTTCAAGTAATAATAAAAACTGTAATAGAAATTCTATACTAGTCTTATGAAACCAAAAGAATACAGTTCATGAAAAGGCATTTAAGAGTAAATCCAGGAAAAAAAAGTAAATCCAGGTAAACTGGCATCGTGGTTCGTATTTTCCAGATTTCTGGAGGTAAGTTTCTAAAACTAAAATAAAATGAACATGTGACATAAGGAATTTCCTCTGCAAACTAACTTGAAGAGATTTAAATTAACTACTTTTAGAAGTTTAATTTTGCAGTGACATTATATTCTTCAGAGAAATATTTTTTATATTTTCAAAAGATATGTGAAATAGAGGTAAAGTCACTGTGAAAATATGAGCAATAGTTCAAATTTTATGTGCACAGAGAAATAGGTAAGACAGTGTCATATTTTTTTAAATGACAACTTCCTTTGAAAGATAACATAGAAAAAGGTTAAGCATTATTAGAAATATCTGTTAACCAATTCATTGGAGAAAGTTAAGTCATGGCCAAATAATATTATTAATTGTATAAAAGTGTAGGCGATTCCTCTTCTGTATCTTTTATCTCTCTTCCCACAGTGTTCTGTACCTAATAGTGTTCTGTAACTAATAAAGTGTTCTGTACCTAATAGTCTTTCAATAAATGTTGCTGAACTGACTTTTTATTTTGTATTATTCAGAAAATATAGCTTTATTATTATTTACACATTTATTTTAAGAAGTAATGTCATATTTTACACTGTGTGACTTAAACCAGTTATTTAAACACTCAATAATACTTACATCAAATAATTGTTCTTGGAACATAGTAGTTGCTCAAGATATGGTGCTATTATAATTGTTGTAATGAAACTAGAGTCTTCTTTTGAACAATTGATACTTGATCATAATAGGCTGAATAAATATATTTGAAATAAAGAAATAATTATACTAAGAGAATGGGCTGTTTTCTTGTTTAATTCTGATTCTCTAAAACACGTTTTATTGGGATCATTCTATAATGTATCAAGTTTTTCTCTGTTATTCTGATTTTTAATTTCAACTTTTAAAAACAATAAACCTAATTAACTAAAGAGTGACTGGATTATATCAAGATCTATAGTCTAGTTCAAATGATGCCTCTTCCATGAAACCTTCCTCAACTCCCTCAAGTGGACATAATATCCTCTTTTCTGAAATTCCTAACATTCAACATACACACACACAGGCTGAGAAAAAAGCCCAATCTCACAACATGAAATTTTATTAATAAACGAGGAGACCAGCATTTAGGTTCCAAAACAGAAAAATGGAGTAGGGTAATCGAGTAATGTCTAATTTTCCATTTAAATGCAAATGTTTTTTAATTAAACAAGACATATAAGCATCTGAGGGCCCTCTTCTTTAAGCATGAATGTACAGATTTCAAACAAGTGCACCAAATTTGATTTTTTATAATAGATATCCATAACAAAGGACGAAGGACTCCTTCAGAATCAGCACACCCCATTCTCTATCGCAGAATCTTTCCATTTGAAAGACCGACTGTTGTTCCTGCTTTTGGGCTCATACCCAGTAGTGCTTTCTTGTTCTCTCCTTCTGTTGTGACACGTAAGACGGGAGTGGGGGAGGGGGGGAGACTAGAGCCCCTGCCAGCCCCTGGGGGCTCTACCAGGGGCTCTGAGGGAAGCAGCTGGGGCGGCAATGTTTCCAACAGAGATGAAAGAATTTAGACTTGCTTCTCTTTTGTTTCACCACTCTGAGACACTTGCTTTTTACCATACTCCTGATAAAATGTAAATCTCCACCATTTCTTTTTTCTATACCACACAGTCGAATTTGTTTGGAGAAAAATACACAATCGCACTGACTGATCTAAATTCAAATTCACGATCACAAACCTCCAGCATACTCTTAATGCTTCCCCTCCATCATACTATGCTCCACCATTCATGCTCCCATTCTCCTAGATGTCTGTGTCACATCTTTTCCTCTCAACTCTCCTAACATCTTGTCTATTTTGAACTCCATTGAAGATATTGCTTCCATCCTCCATCACTGAAAATGAAAGCTTCCTGAAGAAACCCACCACTGCCTCTACTTACCAGCAGTCAAACCTTCACACTTGGCTTTTCCACCTGCTGATAAGACACTCACTGAAAGCCAACTCCTGTAACTGCACCCTAGATCCTACCTTCTCTCACCTACTTAAGGAGTTTACTCCAAACTCTTCCCTCCCTCATCTATAGGCCAATTTTTCCTTTTGTTGTTTCCTCCATCTTAAAACAAACAACACCAAAATTATCTTGATCCCCACTCTATCAGTTGTTGCTTCACTTCTTCTTCACTTCTCCTTTCATTATTCCTTAAGCACATTTCAAACTTTGGCTTCATGATCTCACTAAGAGTGCTCTTTTCAAGGACATTTGTACTCTCCATGTGGCTAAACCTGATGGTGAATTCTCACCTATATGTCTTAACAATAGCACTTGGCACAGCTAATGTTCCCTACCCCTTGATTAACTTTCTCTCTCTTCCAGGGCACAACGTCTTCCTGATTTCCTGCTTCTCTCAGACTTGGTGTTCACAGGCTATCACAGGTTGCTATCCTTGTCCTTAATTTCTTAGCATTGGCTTCCTCCAGGGCTAAGACCTTGTTACTCTTCCTTGGTGATCTCATCCAGTCTCATGATTTTAAATACCATATGCATGTTACTTCAGATTTTTATCCTCATTTCAAACTTCTGTCCCAAAATCCATACTCATATGTCCAAGTGCCTATTGGTTGTCTCCACTCAGATGTGTAATAATCATCTCAAACACAACATGTATTTTCCTCAAATGTGTTATACCGACTCCATTCCCTGTCTCAGCCATTCTTTCAGTTGCACAGACCCCAAACCTTGCCATCTACCCTCTTGACTCCTCTTTTTTTCTCACATCCCACATCTAAAACTTTTCTAGTATATTAATAAATTTAGAATTTTTACTCAACTCAAGTTCACTTGCCATTTGTTTATAATTTAATCTTTTGTTCTCTCTTGAAAAGAATGTAATTTGCCATTTCTTTCCTTCTCTGAATCATCACAGTTTCAGAGACATTAGCTTCAGTAGGCAAGTAATAATTTTTAACTATTTTTCTTACTGCGGAGTAGAACTCATTCTGGGAAAAGAAACAGAAAAGCATTTATAATAGCAAAGTCATTTCCTAAAGTTTTCTCTTTTTCTCTTGAGCATCTTCTATCTACAATTCAGCCTCCTGTTCACAGTTATTGAGGCAGCTCAGTCAGTCTACGCTTACTTTCTGAAGAAAGATATCAATAGGAATAATGAATGTTTCTGGACATTTCATCACAGGAATTAGTCTCTAGTTTCCTCCACTTCCAAAATTTATATTGCCAACTACACATTTTTCATGAACTCCAGTCTCATATAAGCAAGTACCTGCCCATAGGTTTCTACAAGCTCTCTCTAATGGAACATGTCTAAAAACGGGGTCAGGATATTCAATTTTCACTCTCTGTTCTTCTGAGTGTTACCATTTCAGTTAATGGTATTACTGTGAACCCAGTTGCTCAGGCTCCAAATTTGTACAACATTCAATTCCTCAGAAGATTCTGCCAGCACTACTTTTAAAATATACCAGACTTCAACAATTTTTATTATCACTGCAGTTCAAATAGCCGTTTTTCTCACCTTGACGAACTACAGCAGCCTATTAACTCCCTGATCCCTGCTTCTACTCAGCCCTGACACCCAATTTCTTGCTTCATACAGGCTCTAGGAACACAAGTTTGACCACATAGTTTTCTGTTTTAAAACCTTATAATGACTTTCCAACAAATTTAGAATAAAATTCAAAGTTCTCATTACATTCATTAGGTCTAAGAAAAACTGTTTCTTTGGCCATTACCTTTATAATTTCTATCTTCCTAACATTTTTTTTTTCTAACTCTCCACTACGTTGGCCACTTTGCAGTTTCTCAAGCGTCACATGAATTCTCTGGGCCCCAAATTTTTGCTTTTTCTGCCTTTTCTACTTGAAAAGCTATTTCCTTAGGTAGCCAAGTGATTTTCCCCCTTGCCTAATTTCATCCAAGTCTCTGTATAAATGTCCATCTCTCAGAAAGGCTTACTTTGACTACCTTATCTCACCAAGTAGGCTCTGTTACTCATATTCCTCTGACCCTACTTTACATTTTCTTACATCACATTTCTGCCTGACACCTCACACACAAAAACAAACAAACAAACAAACAAACATATATTTGTTTATTGTCTGTCTTCTACATTAAGATGTAAATTCCATGAAGCAGGACATTTTGCTTCTTATTTGGT